TCTCTCTCTCTCTCTCTCTCCGTGTGTGTGTGTGTGTGTGCGCTTCTCTCTCTCTCTCCGTGTGTGTGTGTGTGTGTGCTTCTGTGTGTGTGTGTGTGCGCTTCTCTCTCTCTCTCTCTCTCTCTCTCTTCTCTGGCTTTGCTCGCATGCAGGTATTTTGAGCTTTGGTGCTTAAGTATTCCTCCCTCCGACCGCACACCATTTGGAGGTAGGGCTGAAGCCCCCCTTTTTCGACCTTTTTTATTTATTTTATATCACTGCATGTGAAGGACATGATTTCTTCTCTTTGATTTTGAAACTTTATTTCTTTAAACACATGAGGTGAGAGGTGCTTATTGTTTTTGTCCTGTGCGACCGCAGCTTCTTCTGAAAATTTGAACCGTATGTTATGCACTGCTGCTCGCATTTCAGTAATATAGATAGCATCACTGACGTTTGTACTGTTCCCAAGACCGAACGACCAAAAAGGCACAAGAGGAAGAGCATATCCATATTACTCTCTTGAGTCTCTTCAACTCATCTACCCCTATTTCACCTTCTCTTTCACCTCTCTCTCTCTCTCTCTCTCACACACACACACACACACACACACACACACACACACACACACACACACACACATTGCTGTTCTTTTTTGCTCTTTCTCATGCTTTGAGGCATGGTCATCTGCGTGCAGAATCACAGCTTCATGTAAAGAAGACTCACATGTAAAGAAGCTTCACGCTGTTGTGCAAGTAGACAGCCAGTTCTCTCACACTACCGTCTTCCCCCCAAGATAACACATATGTGTTGTGAATGCATACAACACATAGGTTGCTTTCTATTTGAATACAACGCGCGTGTTCTATTCGAATAGCTGGAATATTCAAATACAAGTTATACAACGCATATGCGTTCAAGTCATCGTCTTTTTTCAAAATCTCGAATACGACGCATATGCCTTATGCTTGGGGGAAGACGGTAGTCCTTGCTGTGAGAGAAGGTGGCTGAGTCTACTTGCACAACTGTAAGGAGAGAGAGAGAGAGAGAGAGAGAGAGAGAGAGAGAGAGAGAGAGAGAGAGAGAGAGAGAGAGAGAGAGAGAGAGAGAGAGAGAGAG